TGGGAATGCAACGGTGCCCGCTGATCCAACTACAAGAAGGATTTCACTACGTCTTAGCCTCGGCAATTTAGTGTCCGCAAAAGAAAAATTGGTTGAAAAGGTGTCTCACACTATCCAGACCACTTTCAACAATCACGACTGACTGAGCGAACGAGCTATTCTTGCGGCCAAAACCAAACACGTGTACCATCTTAACCATATTATTCAGTCTAAGATTCAAAACGAGGCAGTCACATATACGTCTGTCGACACTGTTGCGGAAGCAGACGAGGCAGGTTAGTTATTCAACAGAGATTTTGAATTCACCTGAGCCACAGCAACGCGTGGCGGGGTCCAACTAGTATACATATGTATATATGAGATGGAGCCGACAAAGACAAGGGAGACCGGAATGGTCATTTCTGGCTTATTAGCCGTCATCAGCCAGTCATACCCAACCCCAAGTGTGGATCACTTGAGATTCTAACCCGGGATCTTTGGTCATGGAGTTTGACGCTCTACCATTGAGCTACGGGCCCGTTGATCCTGTCGTTTTATACATCTCTAGATGCCAAAGTGCAAGTGTTGTTGCATTTAAATACGCCTTCATTGCGGAACAAGTTAAATAGTTACAGGGGCATTTTGGAAGTAGGTATGACGACCTATTGCAGCGCCTCACATTTTAGTTCAATTTATTTTATTTTATGTAGGTCCCCAGTATTCTCATGCATTTTGCGATCCTGAGCAAGTCGCGGAGGGGAGCACCGATATGGTTTGAAGTTCGTCTATAAGTACATACATCACAAGTCTGGTTTAAATCAATGGAGCTTGTTACGGCCATCGGTATTTATTGGTCATTCTGTGCTAATAAATTCATATGCTTCTCGTAGATGAGGTCTATACAACGTAGGAGTGACATACTGCTCCAAAAACTCTAATGCATGCAGTCGTTACCCAAACGGATCCCTAACTTGCACCCAGCCCTCATCTGGATTGTGTTTTGCGCAGAGGCCGATTCATGGTAACCACTTCCACTCCAAAATCAAATTAAGTGAAAATCATCAGTGAGGTTTTCCCTACTCTGTGAACCTGTATAAACGCTGGTTTTATCTGTGAAGATGAACCACTTGTATCGTAGCACCTGCGACAGAGGCTTCATGCCTATTCGGTCACGGCTGATAAGACCTTTATCGATGGGAAGCAATCCGGTCATAATGCATTTGAACAAGAACAGATTGTACAGCATCTATGATATAGTTTGACAAGATTCATATTCGCTTTAGTCTTTTTCGTCTGAACAAAACCTCTGATATGCCTTTTTTAGCAATCTCTAGATACTGCTCGGTTCCAGTTCCCAACTAACAATGCCAACTCTTCGGAGACCAAGAAATCTTGGAGCTTGCATGCCTGAGTGTGTGTGCAGCCATCTTCTCCAAGCGACACCAGTAGAAACTGACTCGGACTGTCTCCAGACAATTCGACCACAGTCAACTGCAACTCCTGATGACCGAAGCTCAGCACCCATTCTAAAAGGCAGGCTGTTAAAGGACATGAATATACCCAGTCAGGAAGATATTAGTCGTTCGGCGCGCCCTATCGGCTGGCGGGGAAGCAGAACAGACCAGAAACTGCAATCCGACTTCGACGAACCACCTACTCCCTGTTTTGCAAAGCACAAACGCGTACGGTTTGTAGAGAAGCCAGAGACCCAGCAATATTCATGCAGGTCCAGTCCACTGGAGGAGAGAAGAGGCCTTAGTAACAGTAAGTGGCCTGGGAATCAGGAGTCGCGACGATGGGAGTACCCACAGTTTACTCTCTCCCTCTTAGGCAGCCCCATACATTCCAAGGCCTATACGACATGCCTACCCTATGTGTGCTTTAAACGTAAACCCACTGCGAATGAGAAGGCCATCTGGAGGTGCGGAAAGAACCTGCGAGAGAAGATCAGCACTAGGGGTCGTGGCACAACCATACGTAACTCCAACTTCACCAAAGTGCTCAGCGGTCTAGTAGAACACCTACGCAGTGAGCGATCTTTAATGCTGCGACTAAAAAGGGATTCAGGACGTCTGGGCACCAGAACTGTTGTCCAAGATGAGTCAGAGTCTAAAAGGGATTTCCCCAAAAGGGAGGTCAAGGCAACAAATAACTACGATCTGAACCTGGTTTTTGCCCTGGCCCACAATCAAATGGATTCAGTTTATATTACTGACTCCCAGCCGGACGAGGGCTTTGTGGACAGTCCTGAACTTCTTGGTGGTTACATTTATCCCGACAGCCTGATGATGGGAGAATGGGAAGGATATGAGAAGCCCTCTCAGTTCTGGACAGACAGCGAGGACGATGAAAGCAACCTTTACGAACCAGTCAGAGGACTACCTGTTTTTCCAAAACATCTCCGTCCTACTAGGCTGGCCCCGCTTAATTGTCCTGAGGACTACTACGGCGACACCAGTGGCTGTGAGAGTGGTAACATTTCACCCTTGGAGCCTTCAGTTACGCGAGATTTACTAAAACAGACAGCCATTGTGCAATCACCGCTCGACCTACCCCTTCGTCAGAATGCCCACCGAGCCCAACCTTTCATGAGAGCATTGGAAGCCTGTCCGAACCAACCCACAGTAACTTCCCATGTGGTATCTGATTCCAGTTCCGCTGTGTATCAGACGACCCCCTGTTCTTCACTGCAGGGAGAATGCCAGCGGAAGCCAAATGTAGAAAATCGGATACTCGGGTCTCTCGCGCGACTCTCTCTTCCAGACTGGGCCAAGCGTTTCCTTGGAAGGAATACGCACTCTGGAATTGAGAGAGGCGGAAACGGAAATGGTTCGCATGAAGACCAAAAGGCTTTGCCATCCACAATTCCTACTTCGCACGGGGACTCTGACGTTTTTATATCGTTCACTTACAGAAAACCCTACCTACCGAGATTTCCACGCTTCCTACCAGGCAGCGAATGTATAGAGTTTGAATCTTGTGACGAGCAGCACATTTATTATGAGCGTATTGCCGGCAATCCCTTTTGAATTCATTGTTTCGCCTAATTTTCGAGGAAGAAAAAGGAAACAGAGGTCGTTTGACCCTCAGGGACCTTTTTCTTCAGTGATATCTTTCGGTTTTAGTGAACAATGTCCTCACTAAAACCAACGTTTAGGCCTGGCTCAGTAATTTTAGTTAAAATTGGTTGATTGTTAATTACGCTGTACACTTTACAGAAAAATAATCAAGTGCTTGTATTTTCCTGATTTTCCCTTTATATTATTTCTCGTGTAGAGTGGAAGGACTAATCTAAATAGTAAATAGTCATAAAAATTACAGCCCTCCAGTTTTAGTAGTCCACCTAGAATGCCTGGCATCCTTACATCTTCTGGGATACACTGGCTCCTCGTGAATCTGGTTTAAAGAGTATTGGTCGTTTCTGGAAGGTTGCGTGGGCAGTCAAGGGGGGTATAGATTATAGAGCATTAAACACGGGACTCGGAATACGTTGTGGGAGGTTCTTAAAATTTTAGTGCTTTAAAGTACTAACTGCTTCCGAGCAGATGCGTTTTTTTGTTTTTAAATGACAAAGTCCTTGGTAGCATGGCCAACTATTACTGACGTAGTGGTGGCTTTATACTGGACACGATAAGGACGTCACTAGAATCTCCAACTTTTGTGCATCATTTGGAGGATCGAGAGGAATCATTAATATCGTTACCAGTGAAATGTGTCTTCTCGAGGAGTGTCATATTCAGTGGAAATCAATATTAACTTTGATTTCGACAGAAGCTTATGACAAAACGAGGAGTTCGAGCGCCAT